TCTATCGTGGGGTTGCTGGCCTTTATGACTATGGCCCTCCTGGATGTGCCGTTAAATCCAATGTCCTCGCCTTCTGGCGCCAGGTTTCTCCTTTTCTTGTTTTGTTCTTATATATGTTCTTTACTCAATTGGGGTTATTCAATCAGGATGGTAAACAGTAAGGGGTCGTTTGTAATTGGAGGCAAGAAGGGGTTGTTGCTCAGATGGTAGGGTTTGTTTGGTAGCTACTAAAGAAGCAAATTATTCATGTATTAATTTGGTAGCCAAGTTAGGAAATAAATTGTTCACGTTTACAATTAATACCACTTTTGATTTGCAATTTAGAAACCCGCGTGACTACTTGTATAAGTTAGGAGGGAATTGGTGTATTATCTTATGGTGGGATAGCAGATAGAATAACTAATATGTGCGTAATTCTAACCAGCTAGCAAATGTCAGCTAATGGTATGGGTTTAGTTAGACATGTTCATGATCATGGATTTGTATGGAGATTGTTGTATTATGTTCTTTCTTTCTTGAGACAAGATGGGTTCTGCCATGTTTATATATGATGTGTGTTAAGATAACTTCAATTGGTGACTTGTGCTTTTGTAATTCAGCATTTTGTTCTTGAGGAGAACATGTTAGAGGTTGATTGCCCATGTGTTACACCTGAGGTTGTGTTAAAGGCGTCAGGTCATGTGGATAAGTTCACTGATCTTATGGTGAAAGACGAAAAGACTGGCACTTGTTATCGTGCTGATCATCTGCTCAAGGACTTTTGCAAAGACAAGCTTGAGAGAGATCCTAATCTTCCTGCTGAAAAGGCTGCGGAATTCAGGCATGTGCTTGCTGTTTTGGATGATCTTTCTTCTGAAGAGCTCGGTGCTAAGATTAAGGAATATGGCATTACTGCTCCTGATACCAAGAACCCTCTTTCTGCCCCTTATCCTTTCAACCTCATGTTCCAAACCTCAATTGGGCCATCTGGCGTGAGTCCTGGGTAAGAATATCATTTAGAGCTGTGCTAACCCATTGCTTTTGCTTAGTTTGATAGAGATATTTTTTGAATATCCTGTCTGTCTTCATTTGCGTGCAGTTACATGCGTCCAGAGACTGCTCAAGGCATTTTCGTCAACTTCAAGGACTTGTACTATTACAATGGAAATAAGCTTCCTTTTGCGGCTGCACAGATTGGTCAAGCTTTTAGAAATGAGGTTAAAAAGCGAATCTTACTGTTGCCTTTGTTTTTCTGATGTGTATCCTGATCATATTTGTATTTTTCTACTATCTATCTGGAAAAAGTATAATTTGAGGACTTCTGAAGGGTGAATAAGTAGTGGTCTGGGCACTTAAGTTTCTCCACATTGCTAATGATCAGAATCTGTAGACTGTTCTATCTTAATCTGCTGCCTTGTGTATGGTGAAGAAGACATGAGTGATGCTTCAAGTGTGCAACTAATAGCATTATGCTAATACATTTTCTGTAGAAATGTTAGGCTAATATGCTTCAATATTTTACCCAACCCTTTTTCCCCCTTTTTTGGTTAATTTTTATTTGATCTATATGTTAATGAAGCTTTCTTGATTTATTTTACCTCTCTAGCTAGCTCATAGAAGGACCATGTTTGCATTTTTGTAAATAATTTAAGATGACAAGATATGCAGATCTCACCACGTCAAGGTCTCCTGAGAGTCCGTGAATTTACACTGGCTGAGATTGAGCACTTTGTTGACCCAGAGGATAAGTCTCATCCAAAATTTCCTGATGTTGCAAATTTGGAGTTCTTGATGTTCCCAAGGGAAGATCAGGTGGCTGGAAGATCAGCAAGGAGAATAAATATTGGTGAAGCAGTCGCCCAGGTTAGCTAATGTCAACGATTAACTTCTCCTTTGTTTCTTCCTCTCTCCTGGATAATCTCTCTGATTTCCATTATCCATATTTGAAAATGACTCATCACACTGTTATTGCTGTAGGGAGTTGTCAACAATGAAACTCTTGGATATTTTATAGGAAGAGTATATCTATTTCTTACTCATCTTGGTATTGACAAAGATCGGTTACGGTTTCGACAACATCTTGCAAACGAAATGGCACATTATGCGGCAGACTGTTGGGATGCTGAAATTGAATGTTCCTATGGATGGATTGAATGTGTTGGTATAGCTGATAGATCTACCTATGACTTGCGTGCTCACACGGTAAGGCTAACATAAAATAGGGCATTCTGTTAGTTTTTTTTCTATTCTTAAAGCCCCCTTCCCAGTCTTCTCTTATGGTGCTTCATCAGTTGCTTGGCGTTTGAATTTCCAGGTTCACTGTTTTCTTCTTTTCGGGATCTATCGGATAACTTATGGTTAGCCTAGGTTTCATGCAAATGGACGTATTTTTTCTAAGTAAACAATTGTATACTGGGTATTTTTCCAGCCTCTCTACTTGAGGTAGAGGTAAGGTCTGCGTACACTCGATCCTTCCACACTTTGTGGGAATAGACTGGGTATGATGTTATTTGTTGTAAACAATTCTATACTGAACTGAGTACCTATTGCAGGATAAAAGTGGTGTGCCTCTTGTGGCCCATGAAAAGTTTCCAGAGCCCAGGGAAGTAGAGGTGTTTCTCTTTCTCTCAACCCCTGAACAAGATAATCTAATCCTGAATAAAATACATAAACATGCTTACTAGCTTAATTTGTTATCTCTATTTTCAGAAGCTTATAATAGTTCCAGCGAAAAAGGAGCTGGGTCTTGCTTTTAAGGGTAACCAAAAAATGGTGGTTGAAGCACTGGAGGTACCTGATAGTATTGCATTAGTTTACTCGTTTACGCCTTTCATGTGAGGGTTAATTATTAAGTGTAATTATTTGTTTCTGTTGCAAGGCTATGGGTGAAAAAGAAGCAATGGAAATGAAAGAAACATTGGAGTCTAAGGGGGAGGCCACATTTAATGTTTGCACGCTTGACAAGGTTGTCACTATAAACAAGAATATGGTGTCCATCTCCAAGGAAATAAAGAAGGAGCATCAGAGGGTTTTTACTCCATCAGTCATTGAGCCATCTTTTGGTATTGGGAGGATAATATACTGCCTCTATGAGCATTCTTTCAACACCAGACCTAGCAGAGATGGTGATGAACAAATGAACTTTTTCAGTTTCCCTCCTCTCGTAGCTCCTATCAAATGCACGGTGTTTCCGTTGGTTCAGAATCAACAATATGAGGAAATTGCGAGAGAAATTGCTAAGTCACTGACTGTCTATGGGATCTCGTATAAGATTGACATAACAGGTATCCTTCTTGTCTTCGAAAGTTATTCTAAGCACTAAGCTGTAGCAACTTCTGATTTAGGACTGTCACTTTTCTTTCCTTTGACAAGTATAATGAGTACCCTTTCTTTCAATTGATATAAATGTTAATTTCAAAATCCATCACTAATTTTCTATTTGATTTTCCGTGAAAAGCTATCTGAATCTAGGGTGTTGGAGATTTATTCTCCACCCGTTCATTTACATGTCACCTGTATACTCATTTTGCCATTTCTGAGAATGACTAATTTGAGCTATCAGTTGCTTACGAATTATTTGTTTGTCCTTTTCACTTAGGACAGTGATAAGAAATCGATATGTGGACATTACTTCAGACTCTTATTAAGATATGTTTTCTACGTTGGCTTAGAACTAAGATAGTTTTAAGCAAATTCTAACATTGGTTGCAATATTGGATTGATGTTCACTGGGAATTGCACTTAATAGTGTTATCCAACTCTGTTCACTAATGCTTAGGCAGAAGGGAATAACCTACTTTCTTTTGCCTCTAGTGGAATTCGAACTAGTCTCTATGATGTTCATTCCAGCTGGTAACTGGTGCAAAAGTCTAGGTGTACAAGCTGGCCCGGAACACTACTAGTATAAGAAAAGGGAGAACTACATTCACCCAGAAATTTGTAAGTTAACTAAATAAAATTTGAAACAATATTTAGATTCATGTTGAGTAATTGACATAATGTATTGTCCGATGTTCATTAAGGTCCACCTGTTCAGGCCAATATTTTCGGTCTATCAACTTTGTTTGCTGACCCTCTAAGTACAATAGGTAGTAACTTCAAAGTCTGGCCAAGGTTGGTGCTTACACGGCAAACAACTTCTGTGTTTGCATTGTCTAAATGCAGAATTTGAGTTTGACTTCTTCTTTTGACTTACCGTACACGGGGACTCCAATTTATCCTTGTGCGCTATCCATTATGGTGCTGGTCTCCTTGTGATATATAAATCTGGTCATGTCTGAAGATGTGTGCACCGGAGACTGTTATTATACAATACTCATATATATGCTAAAGTTTCCCTTGTTTACCAACGAAGTTATATTGACTAATATATGAGAAATCAGCAGCAGCCGTATCAAACTATGATAACCTGGTTTTATTGTAGCACTAAAATATGTTTATATACTTTGAGGTTGATGAACTGCTAATACAATAACTATGCCTCAAGTGCTAAACAAGTTGGGTCGGCTATATAATTCTTCACTGACCATGTGATTTTGTGCTATAGGTACGTCAATAGGGAAAAGGTATGCAAGAACAGATGAACTTGGAGTTCCCTTTGCCATTACAGTGGATTCAGCATCCTCTGTGACGATCCGTGAAAGAGACAGCAAGCAGCAGATTCGTGTGAATGTGGATGAAGTAGCATCTGTTATTAAGGAGGTAACTGATGGGCAGAGCACATGGGGTGATGTGTTATGGAAATACCCTACCCATTCTTCTTGATCCCCTGAATTGAGAATGTTTATTAGCGGATTGATTTGTTACACATCGACAATTTGTTTGACAATCATGCATCAAAGTGACAGTAAATCCTTGTGCAATGAGAGTACTTTGTACCATTTAGTCCCATAATTCATTTTCCTTATTTGTGGTCTTATTTTTAGTCTATTCTGTTGTTTTTGTCCATTATGTTGAACCATTATGTGTGTTAGAGATGTTAGAACTTTAAGCAGTTACAGAAGGGAAATGAGGGACCTCCATGTTATGCAGAAAATTTTGATCTTTAAGCCGAAAAGATTACATCAACAGTAGAATAAAGTAGGGAAGTTAACATAGTGGCTAAGTCAGAGAGATTGATATACTTTGTAAACAGCCATCATCAGAAGCACAATTAGAAATGCGGCAGGTGATCAGCAACACCACCAGAAACCGAGCTAGAAGCAGCTGCAGCCGCGTTGCTTCTTTCAGAATGACACAGCTGGCGGAGCTTGGTGGGGACGTACCAAATGGCAAGTCGAGGATGTGCATTGAAGATAGCATCGATATCCCAGCCTTGTCGAGCAGCTATAGCCACCAATGGCTTGTAACACGCCTGTCTCCATGCCCCAACATTCTCTCCTCGCTCCTTGAAAGCTCTCCTTAGAGCATTGGAAGCATCCTCGTCAAGACAATGAAGTGCATAGCAATGCACATAGTGTCGCATTTTGGGCTTGTTTATGTAGCTTGCCCCTGCCTTCTTCGCGTACCTGAACACCTGATTCGTCACCTGCATATTCAACACACTCGTGAATCAACCATCCAATACGCGATAACTCTCTGTAACTGTCCTAGATTCTGTGTACCGTCCCAATTTATGCAGTACTGAGAGTTAAACAATTTAAGTTTGACAAGATATTTGTGCATTGATTCTTCAAATTTTTTTAATTAACTTAATTCACAATGAAAAATTTACGATTAAAAATAAATTTGTTTAAATCTCAAAATTTGAAAAATGATACGAGTAGTAAGTTAATTAGAATGCACAAGGTGTAGACTATGGATGTGGTAAGGACAAGGTTACAGGTGGAGGTACGTGAGTGGAAGTACAAATGGAGTAATGGGGCAAGGGCTGAAATTCAAGCTTTTATGGTTGAGCCCATCAGTCCGTACCTTAGCTGTCGAGTTTACTTGTGGACAGCTAATGGTTACTCTTAGACCCAATTAACGAGGTCCTCTGTTACCACATTCATTTTTATGCACGACCTTTCCCCCCAACTACTACTACTACGACGACTCACTAACTTTATCAGCACAATTATACTATTGTGTTTCAGAGTTATAGTAATTAATAAAAAGAGAAAGAGAGAAAAGGAAGGTGACCTTAGTAGGGCATTTTTCACCTCGTTCCTTAGCAATAGTCTGAACTTGGATCAAGAAATCACGGCATTGTTCGTAGAGATGGAACAGATAATCCAAGCCGTTCTTTTTGCCACGTGCCACTTCCCCTGGCTCCGTCACGATAAACGGATGCTCCCTTTGTCTCTCGCTTATTCCTCCTCCTCCTCCTCCACCTTCGTTAATATTCTCATCATCTTCTTCTCCTGGTTCCTCCGTTTCATCATCCTCCTCTCCTGACGCCCCTCTTCTCTCCCTCCCCGTCGCCGTCGCCGTCGCCGCTTTCATCCTCCTCCTTTGTTTCATTCTCCCACCACCACCTGCCGCAACTTCCCATGTCCCGCCCCCACCGCTTCCTGCCGCTTCTCTCTCGTGCTGCTGCTGCACTGGTGGTTCCTCCGATAATCCTACTTCACCATATGTATAAGGACAACGTACGTATACATGCTCATTTTAAACGTATAATAAAAATTGTCATAACACATAAAATCAATTTACTAGATCTCTCATTTTATATGCAATGATTTCGGTGTATGAAACGTCAAAATACTTCATTTTTATATATTTAAATTTAAAATTATATATAAAACTGAGTGATACTAATTACGATATTCCTAAATATTTTACTAGTATAAGATTTTGAGAAAATTATTTGCAGACTCTTTTGTTTAGTTTTATAAGTAAAATATACGAGTAGAAGATTACGTACGTAACCAACCAACTGCGATTCTTCAGAAAACAAATTATTGTGCTTGATCTCCATAGAAATTAGAATATACGCAGCAAGAACCCTATATATATATATATATAGTTGCTTAATTGCATGCACCAGGACAAGATAACATCAATATAACAGTGATTTTACAAGCATTTTGAAGAAAATTATTAACCTTCTTGTGATATAAACAAAAAATAGCACGTACTATTAGCAATTCAGTGCAAAGTTGGTTCACTACATGTAGTTGAAGAAAATTATTAACCTTCTTGTGATAGAGCGTCAAGGACATTAGTTCCACCGTCGGACAAAATATGTCCGCGGCGCCGTGCTTCCTCTTCCTCCAGCCTCCGCCATTCAGCTCTAATCGCCGCTTTGATACCGTACCTTTCTCCGACGAGTAGGTCCCACCTAAAAATCTGCGAGAGACTATTCATCATATCATCAAGTTCTTCATCTTTCATGTCCAATAACGTGTTCACAGTGAACCCTAACTCCGCTATCTTAGCGGCGGTGTAATAGCGTATGCCGTACGCTTGAAACAACTCCTCTAGTCCTCCTAGCTCCCTCGTACTCCGTAAGTACGATGATGTTGGGAGCGGCTGAGGAGGTGGTGGTGCTGGTAGAGGCGGAGGAGGTTGTGGTGGCGCCACCGGTTCTAATAGACGGCTTGGTGGTGGCATTGCACCTCTTGGGTCCCACTTGAACAAACTCGCTGAGAAAGCTTCTGGGTCCATCTTGTTAGAAGCACACACTTGGGTTAATATGAAATGAAAGATGAAAAACTGTTGCTTTTTATAAGAGTTTTACTTCGACTATAAAATAAATATTTACATTACACGTACTCTATTCTCTCCTGATTCTTTATACACCATTAGTTAAATGGTAATTATAGATCAGTTCAATAAGTACACGTACATACTTATTTTTTCATCATCTCAGATTAATGTAGTAATTTTTGTTTTATTCGAAAAATTACAAGCCCAACGTTTAGAGGAAATATGTATATGTAGGTGTTATTTAGATAACATGGTAGTACATTTTTTGTATATATTGATAGTGAACATGAATACTTAAAAGTCATTATAGATAAATCATTTGATAAGTATTACTATTGATAATTAGATAATTTTTCGAGGATAGTGTTCTTTTGGTACGAAAGATAAGAAATAACTAATTTCAGAATTAATTTTAAGATGAGTTTATTTCATGTTTGTTTGTGATAACATTACGAAATAACTAATTAATCTCCAACTAAATAAGCCCTTATAAGTTAAAATTTACTAAGCTTTTACCTTATATATATACGGAACGGACAATATATAGAAAAACTTAAACTATCAGCTTACTAAAAAAGATATCTAAATTTGTAATTTGAAAAATAAGTGAAAATACATCTTACACCAAAGATAAAGATGATTTTTTTTACACTATATATAAAATAAAAGTTTGTTTTTAACTTTGAAAATATATACTACAAAATTTCTGGGATAGGATCAGAGTCATACGTGAATAGCAATGTGCTTTTCTGCATTTGCATACAGAGAGAAAAGGTACGGATACAACAGTTGAAATAATTTTGCTTTTTCGGAAGAGACTTAGTTCAAATAAAACTAGTTCCAATTCCGAACCAATCAGCCCCAGTCTCTACTTCGATACCTTTTTTCGACTATATGGGCAACACATTCGGGATTTTTCCCATTTTAGAAACTTTTTCTAATTACGCTTCTCCACACATATATTCATTACTCGCTTTTTTGTTCACTTTTATTTGTTTATTGTTTTTTTTATGATCAAAGTGTTTAAGTCAATTTATGTGCATCTCGACTAATTACATGTGATATTTGCTATCTTCCAACAAACAATGGATCGGATACCATATAATTCTGTCTACTAAAGCTAAGATAAATGAAAAGAATCATATAGTGTGTTTTTGTCTTCGCAAAGTTTTGAACCTAAAAGCTCAGCATTCTCAATTTTATCTGTCCATTGTTCCAAAAATAATTTTTTTATTTTTACTTGTTATGTTATAGCATAGCAGTAAAACATTATAGTAAAATGTTCATATCAATCATTATTTTTTAAGAAACGTGCAAATTAAAATTCAAAGTGGACAAGTAAGCCACCAAGGTTAATTTATTAGATAATTTAACTAAAAATCATCCTCGAAAATATTGAAGATAAGTTGAATTTTTGTACTACTAGAAAATAAGAAATTAAATAAAAAAAGCAAAATTCTATGTTAATTATATTTAATTATAAGAAAATTCATTTAGGTAGGTGCTATTTAGTTAGGAATTCCTCCATAGCTTATTTCAGTATCACTAGCATGGATCTGTGTCACTGTCTGTATGCTTGTCTTCAAGAATCAATCAACCAAAGAAGCAATCAACAAATCAAGTTGAGGTATCAAAATCCTGTCTTCTTTCGTTTCGGGCGGACCTAGGTGGGGTTTGTGGGTTCAGATGAACCCAATAGCTTTTTCGTAGTCCCTATATTCTTACTAGAAAATTAAGTAATATAATAACTTGTGAACCCCTGACAAAATTGATTGACAACTTAATATTAAGAAAAGGGAAGGAAATTTAGAAACCCTAAACTCCTAATACTGGCTCCGCCTCTGAATTCACTAGAGATTTTTTATTAAAAAAATTAAATGAACTTTTTACTCAAGTGGGGGACTTGTACGTGAAGAAAATTTATAAAGGATTCAGTTGAAGTTGAAGGGGACCAAAGTTAAGAATTAGACTAGTATTACTTGGCAAGTTTAAAGTATGCTATATATATGCAGGGAAGTACGTATTTACAGAAAAAAGTATCACACAACAGAGCTAAGGTGTTAAGCCTAATAATCTTTTTGTAATCTAATAAGGCTGTTTCCCTTTGTACTTTCCAAACACAAAAATATGGATTTACGTATTCACGATATATCCTATAAGCTTATCTCTCATTCTTATGATATATATCCTCGTAGACGTATTCAGGATTTTAAGAAGTTAAGTCTACCATGATGACTGACGAAGAAATTAATATAGGATTTATATTTGACGCGTGCAATCTTTAGATTCTAAGCATAAACTCATTACTCCAAAATTATTAAAACATTTCGCTTTTTTAGTAAGTTTTCACACATGTATTTATATATTGTCTCGAAAAGTATTGGAATGATTAGTTGAATTCATTGTCTATATATTACATCCTCCACTGCCTACTGATTTTAAGTATAAAATTGTTATTTCATTGTACAAAATTTAACAATGATAATAGAAGGAATAAAGCAAACAAAGAAAAGTGAATAAAAATACATAAGTAAAACACCATATTTTATGTACAGTGTTCATATTTTATTTATTTATCTTATTATACACATGAACCATTCATAATTTAAATTAATCTCTCAACTACTTCCCTGGTGTGAATTTCTATGCTTATTTCTATTTCAGGACTAGTCGAAATATTTTAACATTTTCAAAAGTACAATTCTATATGGAGTAACTAACTACATAAATTTGGAAATGAATCAATGATATCCTTTTATCAAAATAAAATATAATTTTATAACAGTATTATACATAAAATATTCGTACTGAATAAGAAAGATGTGGTCAATTTTAAGACTAAATATTTGGACCAATGAAATGATGACACGTATTATTAGAGCAGAGCAGTGTACGGATTTTATAAAATTTTGTCGCTGAGTTGCAGAGAGTCATTGCATTAGATTCGCAGAATTGAATATCCAGCTTTAACTTCTTTGGACTTTCTTTGCTTTTGTCTCTTCTCATAATAACAGGAAAAGTTTCACCACAATTCCTTTGACTAAAAAAATTATTTATTTATTTTTAGTATAATTATTAATTTAATTTGATAATCAGTATTACCTTGGTCCATTTTTAATTGTCATGGTTTGCTTTTTAGAGTCAAATTATAAAAATTTTGACTAACATTTTATGATGTATTTTTTCATCATATTGATATGCAAAAAATTGCAATTTATAATACTTTCCGTATATTTTTTAAGTATCTAATTGTTTTGTTTAAAATATCGAATTAATGTAATATAATTTAACTTTGAAAATTAAATAAATTGACTTTTGAAAAGCGCAACATGGCAATTAAAACTGGACAGATGAAGTATTTAGTTACGAGAACTTAAAATTGTATTTCAAATTTGAAAAGAAATAATATTATAACCTATGTTTCAACTCACTTTTTAATGTTTGAAGTTGTTTCAAATATTGTTTGTAAAAGGTATAATCAAATATAACTACATCTTCTACGTTAACTCTCAAGTTTCAAAAATATAAAAAATAAGTGAAAAATATTTAAAATCTATGACAAGTGACTACTTAAAAAAATTTCATCTAGTTAATTGTTTCACTTTAATTTTTCTTCATCAAGAAGTATATTATTTCTAAAATTTAGATTATTTTAGCTATTCTGAAAGATGCTTTTTGGAACGAACTTTTGGTATCAAAATCGGGCATCATACAAAAAAAAAACTACTATTAATTGCAAATTATGACGATGATAAATTAGACGACTCATAATATTATACTAAATAACATATTTGGTTAATTGGTCTACATATGACATAAAAAACTATCGAAAGAAAATATATCTCCTACTAAATAAAAGTCTTTAATAACTATATTGTGGATGTTATTTTGTTATGTTTGAAAAGAAAAAAGAACTTGATCTCAGAGTCTTGATTATTTACTTTATTTTTGGTGTTCCTCGACCACCCCACCAACACAAAAAATAAAAACAAAGAAATTGAAAAAAGAAAAGTTGTTAGAGGCTGAAAAACGTTTCAAAGTGTTAATGATGGCATGTCCTAAATCTCAGAGTCTTGATTTAATTGCAAATGTCAGGTCAGTGAAAAGATAGTTTGCAAAAGTCACATGTATATATTGGTTAATGTTCTAATTAATTTGAATGTTGTTTAATCAATTGTCTAAGCTAGCGTTTGGCCATAAATTTCCAAATATTCTTGGCAAATATTATTTGGGTGAAAATTTGGGTGAAATTTCACCATGTGTTTGGCCATAGTATTTGGGAAATATATTTCACTTTTTTAGAAAAATATGATTTATACCCATAAGTTTTAAAAACTATCAAAACTAATCATAAATTTGTATTACAAGTCAATTGGATCTTCGTTACAACAAATAACAAGTAGTGTTCATGACACTAGAGCAATGTGATAGTTTGGAGTGAGTGCAACAAGCATCATTCCATACATCGTGAAGTAGACAAAACACATGACTTTGTTACCATGACCCGATTGTTCATCATTTTCATCAATAATCATATCATCACTGTCATATTCACTGAATATTTCATCACTACTTTGGTGTTCACGTAAAAAATTATGTAATATAACGTAAACATTACTATGGAGGGTGTTTTTGTAAAAAATAAAAGTTTGGTGTAAAATTTTAATTTTCAAAAGATCCCAAATAATGAGATTTGGCCCAAATACTAGAAAAAACTAGTATTTGGGAATTTGGGATATTTGCCAAAAATATTTGCCAAATAATGGCAAATTATATGGACAAACATTATTTGCCAAATTTTTCCCCAAATATTATTTGGGAAATCTATGGCCAAACGGGCCCTAAATTAAGCAAAACTAGGAAAGTATTTTGGGAAACTTACCTAAATGCTCACTTCAGTCATATACTCTTGTACACTTCGATGGTATATGTTGTGTATATTACATCTATATAATATATGCATATTTAGTATATAAAGTATACATATTTTGTAACTAAATTACCCAAAGACATTGCGCTGTAATTTTTCCAAGTGTTGTTTCCTTCCATCTATGTCATCGGGTCGTTTGGTTAGAAACAAGTTATCCTAAAATTAACTATCCTGAGATAACTTATCCAATCACTATGATATAAATGATGGGATAAGTTATCTCAAACAAGACACCAAATTGTTATCCCATGACTATTATTTTTATCTCATTACTATTTATTCTTATTCCTCACATAGGGAGGTAATAATTTCACTTCAAATAAGTTAAAGGGGATAGACAATGGGATGCTTTTCACAAAATTTGAGTATATAAATTATAACTTTTACATATCCCAAGGAATTACTCTAGGTGCACGAAAGCTGATCCAAACAACACGGTCATAAAAAAAAAAAACTTTTCGAAGCAAGATTTTATCTTCAATAGATTGAAAACAAGACCCCATTAACCAACATCGATCATACTATTGAAGCGATTTCTACAAGAAAGGCTCTTAAGCTACCAATGTTGTTTATATGATACAGAAACGAGCAGCTACTTCATTTTGCAAGCCACAGAAATAATAAGAGTAGATTCAGCAAGGTACTCGTTTTTTTCCCGGAGTTTCTGCAGCAATTTTGTGTATGCTGAACATAATCTGTCTTTGATTGTAGTTCTTAACTGCTCTGACTAAATATGCAGGCCACTCATGTATGATAGTGTCATGAGCTATAAGCCTGAGTTGAATATTTCAATTCTCTTCTATATAATCATAGTACAAACGTTGTCTTCTTATCGAGTGCATTACCTGAAAGACCTCGTAAACCAGCTCTGAATAATAATGATGTGTAACTACTTGCTTAGGCTTCATGAATAGGAACTAATGGCATTTTGCCTCCATAAATATCTGGTAGCTGGCTTTCATCAATGTCTTGAAGTAGAGTTTCCGTGAGTCGTTTGTTTTCCACAAATGTAATCTGAGAGAAAAGAGGATTTTAATACAATGTTGAAATAACAAGGCTATCGTTGACTAATCTCTGGCATTGTTTCCATCAACCATTTTAGAGCCTCACCTTCTTCTTGGTGTTGTTATCAATAAAAGGGTACACAAGCTTCCACATTGTCCAGAATATGTAAGGAACATGAACCACAATCAGTTTTCCGAGTCTTTCAGGGTAGCAGTCCTGCGATTAATAATAAATTTCAAGATTATGAACTATATAATATGGTGAGCCTTTACGTATTACAGTTCCAAAAGGAAATATGAAAAGGATTTCACTTAACATATACCGGTAGTGTCAAGAGTTTTTACACCATCTGAGTACTGGTGTATCTAAAGTCTTAACATGTTTTACTCGGTAAGCTCAGTGGTCGAACCAGAAATTTATTTCAAAAAATTACTAAGACGGTCACACCTAGGGTTTGAACCTGTGAATTAAAATTGTGCAATCGTATGTATAGAAGGTAAAAATCAAATGAAAAATGGGTAAGTAGACCTGTAAAATGGATAGAGCGCCAAGATATGCACGAACATCACTGTTGGAATAGCCAAAACCTTGTAGATCCCCAATTACCACAAACTTTTCCCTTCCTGGTGAAGTTCTGATTCATCAAGACAAGCAATTACACATTAATTTCAAAAATAGAGGCCAAACATGCCAATTACTCCATCCGTCCATTTTTACTTGTCCAATATTCACTTGGCAAGGAGCAATAAACAAAACGACAATTTTACTATATAACACCATTTGAAATATAATAAATTCAGTGCTCTGGGAAATGACTTAAGTTAATAAGGAGGGTAAGTTAAGAACTACGTGATACATTCTCTCTTGATCTCTAAACTGAACAAGTAAAAATGGACGTATATTTTTTGTAGTGTACCTTGAACAGAGTTTGTCTAAAGCCAAGACAACAAATCCTGTAGATCAAAACAATGACTTAACAATAAGAAAACCTGATCTGTTCAAAAGTCATTTCAGGGACCAGAAAACAGCAGGCCAAGTAGAATAGTATCAACAAAAAAAACACATACGTTTGAACTCTTCAAGACCTCCTTGTTTATTCGGCATATGTCTGCCACCAAAAACGACAGCAATGGGGCGTCCTAATTTGTCCACACCTTGTAAGAACATTTTGTTGTGTGCTATCTCATTTGGAATCTCAGTAGGTGAAATGTACCCATTTGGCACAAAACTTTTCTTCCATTTTAAGTATTTCAACAACATTGTTGAAGCTTTTTCCACATCCAGATCCCTTGCTCGAAGAAACCTTCTTATCGCAAAATCATCAACTTCCTACAAAACAATTGATGTATAAACCAGATAAAAAAATGAACCTTGAACCTAACTCAAACCCCAAACATATAGGATGACACAAAACCATATGAAGAGGCAATTGTCCATTCCCTTAATCAATGTAGGACACTCATGACCAAGCATGTGGAAATTCTTTTTAATATGGGTGGGCGGGGTGAGATTCGATCCAGGACCTCTGTCTGCTGTGATACTACGAAAAAAGTCTATGACCATGACCTTTGCCTGCTCTGATATTACGATGAAGTGTGTGACCATCTCATCTAAAAGTCACACCTTAACAAACACCTAGCTCCAACATGTCGAGCACTACATAATGTTGGGTCTCAACGTACTTTAGGAGAGCGAATATTGGGCTTAACTCAATACACTTAAAATTAGTGGAGATGTCTATAAACAAATTTCAATTTTTCACTTTTAACATCCAAAAAATCAACAAACACAGCATTAAAATTAAAATACAATTACCTTAGAAGACGGATCTTGTTTCTCAACTACAGCTCTCACAAGAGAAATCTTGTTCATCTCTTCTTCATTGATTGTGGCGTCATCGCAATGTATTGATTGGATCTCTTTTCCTTGTTGCTGCAATTTTATTAGCCCATTATTATTGTGTAGCTCATTTTCTGCTGCCTCAATTTTTCCCTCCATTACTTTACTAGCAGAGCACAGAAAAATACAAAAGGAAGAACCTAACTTTACTTTTAAATTTAATATAATGTTTTTTCTACTTCAATTTATGGCCAATTAACTTGGAAGATGAAATTAAAAAAAGGCATATGAGGAAGTTGGAGAAATTAAGACAAAAATCAAATGGGACCACCATAGATGTAGTTGAGTGGAAGTATCTATATACTTGTAGTTTTGCTCGGTGAGATAGATAGAGATTTTTTTTCTTTCAAAATGATAAAATGAATTTTTAGGAATACTTTATCTTTTTTTTATTGGATCATGTGAATCGAAATTAGCCAGCTAATATTCAGCTTATGACTTAATATGTTTAATAATTTATCCGAAAATCCCTTAACTTTCTTTTCTCGAATGTTTTAACCCTTAACAAAAGGTTATACCAAAAAAGTTGCTAGTGGAAGGTAGAATCATAATTTAAGTTTTAAAGAACGTAAGTGCATTTCTTATAGTAATGTTTTAAGAAATATTTATATATATATATTTCGTTTACGTGTTGTAGCTCATCCCACCTAACTTGAAATTGAGGATGTGTAGAGGACACGTTCATTGATAGCTTTTCAACATGAGCTCTAGATTGTAATTACTCCCTCTGTCTTAATTTATGTGACTTACTTTCCTTTTTAGTCAGTCCCAAAAAGAATGACTCATTTATATATTAAGTAACAATTTGACTATAAAATGTCTATTTTACTCTTAATGAAATGATTTATAGCCACACAAATTTCTATCATTCATTTTGGACCATAAGTTTTAAAAGTCTTCCTTTCTTTCTTAAATTCCGTGCCGAATCAAAGTACCTCACATAAAATGGAACGGAGGGAGTAATATTTTTGAAATGTAGTAAATAGATTGTTGAAAGAAATACAAATATTTGGAGATAATAAAAAAATAAATGAATATAGGGGTTAGTTGTGGCAAGTGGAAGTTCACCTACTTGCCTAACTACCTCATTTGCATACAATGTGTAGGGCCTACGAGTTTAATATGAATTGGGTTGCATTTTGGATATTCAAAGAGTAATTATGTGAAATTTTCAAACGTGCGAATTATTGATTTGTTCAAAAGTTACTTGAGTTCAACTAAAATGTACTCCCTCTGTCCCAATTTATGTGACTTACTTTCCTTTTTAGTCAGTCCCAAAAAGAATGACTCATTTATATATTAAGTAACAATTTGACTATAAAATGTCTATTTTACTCTTAATGAAATGATTTATAGCCACACAAATTTCTATCATTCATTTTGGACCATAAGTTTTAAAAGTCTTCCTTTCTTTCTTAAATTCCGTGCCGAATCAAAGTACCTCACATAAAATGGAACGGAGGGAGTAATATTTTTGAAATGTAGTAAATAGATTGTTGAAAGAAATACAAATATTTGGAGATAATAAAAAAATAAATGAATATAGGGGTTAGTTGTGGCAAGTGGAAGTTCACCTACTTGCCTAACTACCTCATTTGCATACAATGTGTAGGGCCTACGAGTTTAATATGAATTGGGTTGCATTTTGGATATTCAAAGAGTAATTATGTGAAATTTTCAAACGTGCGAATTATTGATTTGTTCAAAAGTTACTTGAGTTCAACTAAAATGTCTATAATAAAGATACCAAACTATCTTCTCTTGGAAAAAATGAGAGCAACTACTCACTTGCATGTTTGAGACAAATTAACCAGATGTGAAGCATAAGTTTCACCAATTTGGTAATGTAAAAAGAATGAAGTTGGAAAACTCTTTGCTTATGGATAATTTGTCCAGTTCTTTTTGTCATATTAGAGGCATTAGCTTTCTATTACAAGACCCAAATTACCAGAAAAAAGAAGCAAAATTAAAAACAATAAGACAAAAAAGAACACAAATGGAAAAGTTAGAAACAAGGACAATAATGAAGTTAATGACAGTTTCCTTACAATTTGGTCAGTAGAGGAAAACAATCAATGCAATGAGAAATTTTATGGTGGGAGAGACACAACTATGATTTGGTATGTGAGAGATTATTTTTGAATAAAAAAATATGTAGGTCCCACATTTTTTATTCAATATTGTTGTTTCTCTCTCCTATCTGTCTTAATTTTATAAATAAAAAATTATGTAGGTCCTATTCTTTTATTTTACATTGTTATTTCTCTTTCCCATACATTTTACTCCACTTCCGTTTACTTGTCCATTTCTTTCTTTTCCCCTTTTTAAAAAAAGTTCTTCTTTAATTCTTCTTTCCTAAAATATTTCAGATCAATTTTTACTTATTAATTTTATTTATTCAATTTTTTTTATATCATTCGATATATTTGTCTTGTTTATATTTGATAATTAACAATGGTGGAGTGATTGGACCCATGTATTTTTCTCCTACCTTTACTTATCATCCCTCCTTTTGCCATTTCTTTCGTTTCACCTATTTATTTTTTTAATTTTGTGTGTAATTTTTTAATCAGTTTTTTCAATGGTGAATATTATTTATCCAATTTTTCTTATATATTTATATATGTTCTCCATTTGATAATTATCACGTTGATTAGTTAAAAAAATATATATTTGAGAGTGCGAGAAAAAATATATATAATATATTTTCCCTATATGTGGCATTATGGTTGATAGTTTTTTATATAACTGTTTACAATGAGTCATCTTAAATATATAATAATTGTACAAAATAAAATTCATTTTAATAATTTTATTGTAAAATGTTTCAAATCAAGCTAAAAAAAATAAAGAAAATTGAAAAACCTATTTTAATTAATTTGGTACGGTTTATTAATATAAAAATTGGTGTAATAATTCAATTTGATAAAGTGAAAAATTGATCTATCATGCTTATATACATGTGCCAAATGAGGGATATTAATAGTTTAGTCGAATTACTATCTAGACTTTTATTTTGTAGACGAAGGTTTTATTCTTTATTTTTTAATTTTCTCCACCATTTTTTCTTCTCATATTTTTTTATGTAATTTAAAAAATTACTAGTTCAATAAATTAACAATAGTAAAACTCGTTATTCTTTAATATAATTTTTTCACATAGTACAAACAATTTTTTCATGTTAAACATTGATTATTTTTTTGTAAAATTTATAATTATTAAATTATTTTATTTTTCAAAATATAAACCTATGGATCAGGTTTAATATTTTTTTTTTAAAAAAAAGTAAATAACAAAATCACACAAACTTGAAATTGAAATCACACTTTTAAGAAATTTTGAGATTTGAAATTGTGATCTCAAATCAAAATTTCAATACTGAGCCCCAAATTAGAAGGCCTAACGCCTACTTTTCGCTTGTTACAAAAAGTTAAATCTTTTCTTCTTTTTGGGATCACAAGCAAGCTCTAGTACCAGCTACGTCAATTTTCTTATAACTGATAGATGATGTACATAACATAATCAACAAAAAGATATAATGCAGCATCAAATTTTTTAGATTTGCTGGCAGAAATAGGCATCAAGTTACTAGTGGGAGGTGGCAGGCATTCATGGAATTAGTTGAGGACTCGAGGTGCGCAAAAACTGACTCAGACACCACGATCATAAACAAAAAGGTATAAGTGGAGACTGTGGAGTGTGTTACAAAAGCCAGAATCGATAACATCGACCCTCCTCATAACAAAGACAATCTTACAAGCAAAAGCTTAGTTCCAAATCAAAGTAGTGTGACAATGATTCAGTGCTCAAGTTTGATCAAAGAAGGCATTTTGATGCAGAAAAATTAGCTCTTTTTTGTTATAAGCAACTGTTTGAGTTTAGAAGAAGATTATTGAAACACCCATTGTCAAGCAGCCCACAGCCATCCAAGGACTCAGCCGCTCACCTGCCACGTTGAAGTATAGCAGTTAGCAACACCTTGGCAGAAGATTATATTCACTATCCTACAACAGAGAAATGATTTCCCTGTTTTCTAATGTTTGCTCTCTACGCTGACAACTTTCTTTTCTCGTTATTTACACATCCTATGATAGACCGCAGAGTTATTTGCAATTCATAAGTTCATTTTCTCTAGCTACATCACTTCCATGTGCCTTTAGAATTTTGAAAAATGGACTATTCAGAGATGTTATGAAAAGTTAGTAGGAGCAGAAAACGACGCTTCTCAAAAGTTTGTTAAAGATGAACCTGAGCCAAGGGACAAGCGATCACCCTAAAGTATTAACTTCCTAGTCGAAATTATGCATACACATAAACAATGCTTAACCGCCCTATGCAATAATATCCACTCATATAATGTGTAACAGGTACTCATCTCAGCAGCAGTTCAGCATTAAATCCACAGCTTGCATTTTTAATGGGATTACATGCAAGCAATTTGGTTAAAGAGAATTTTACATACACTGTTGTTTAACCAAAGTAACAAAACTTCAATTACATGAGAAGAAACGAATCAAATGTAATTTTTTTTAAAAGTTAGCAAATCAATCCAGACAGTTTCTAAGTACCAACATTACCAGCATGGTAGGAAATAGCTTTCTTTACCTATTCTAGCAGCCTTCCAGAAGAATCCTCGAAACCTACCATAAGTAGTATCTAATTAGGATGTAAAAAGAAGATCCACTAATACAAACATTTTCAGTTTCCCTTTCAGTTCATGGCAAATTCCTTCCATCCTTTACAGAGGAGGGAACAGAGAAAGTGGCTAAAGTGATTGTTGCTGTCTATATGCAGCACCGGGTTGCCAGTTCAGGCTATCGCAGTATATGAATAATAGAAATTGTTTTAGCTACATGTTAAATTAGGTTTTAGGCCTAACTCACACCCCAAAAGCTAGCTCAAAGGGAGGAGGATTGCCCAAGCCTTATAAGGAGTCCACCTATCTCATTAACCACCGATGTGGGACTTTTGTCATTCTTTAACACTACACATTCTGGTAGACTTACCCAGTTCTTTGTTCAAGAAGTGCCGGAAAATGCATCTTTACATAAGTGCATGTACAAATCCATAACAGCACTACCGTCAAGAAGGAATGGAAATTAAAGAGCGCTGACTGAAAATACCAAAAATGAAAGTATTAGCATCTATTTATATAATCAACACATTATTCTCATTTCAATGCAACTCACCATATCTGAACTTTCCTCTCTTGATCAATTTTTGCTTCAACCAAGTCACCAAACCTACAAAGTAAAGAAGCATAACTTATAGTTTCCTCTCGCACAACAACAACAACATACCCAGTGAAATCCCACATGTGGGGTCTAGGGAGGGTGATGTATACACAAACTTTACCCCTACCGTGTGCAAGTAGAGAAGTTGTTTCGGATAGACCCTCGGTCTCAAGTAAAGCATATCAAAACAAGTTTGAATAAGAAATTCACAAGCAAAGAAGCAAGGTTGAAAATAATGGGCAAAAGAACGGTAGCAACAACAAATAATACGAAAATCAATGCAAAAGAAACAATGGATAATAAAAGATTCAAAGGAATAAGATAATAGAAAAGTAGTAATAATAATATTCATACATATAAGAAAAAGTAGATAACACTCGATTACCTGCTAACATTTTATCCTAATCCTCGACCTCCATATCCTCCTATTTAGGGTCATGTTCTCATTAAGTTGTAGGTGAGTTATGCCTTATCTAATCACCTCTCTCCAATACTTCTTCGGCCTACCTCAATCTCTCCTTATAACCATCAAAGGAATATTATGTTAATGATAAATTGGTAGTGATTCCTCCTTGTGATTTTGAATCATTCAACTCAACCACCTCAAATTGATGAAACCAATTAATACTACAGGGATCAGTTCCCAACCACATTTGAATCTTTCTACTTTTCTTAGCATTTATTTATATTTATATATTTTAAATCATCTTAATAAAAATATTTGATTCTACGCTACAATCAGAGTATTAAAAATGGAAAAAACGAAAAAAGGGAATACCTAAATGAGAGGCAATAGCAGAAATTGTAATGATGATAGTGATAGTGATGCGGGGGTTTCAGATCGCAAGCATTGATGAATTTGAAAACGAATTGCCCTTTTTTGGTTTTGATGGAAAAACACGTGGAAGGAAAATTGGCCAAAATTAAATTTAGATATTTAGTAAGTAGTATTTTTATCAATTTCAAATAAAGAACTTGTTTATTTTTATAGGGGAAGTAGATTTTACTTCTTGTATTATTACATAATAATGATTTTTATCTATGTGTTATTTGACCATGCAGATTTAACCTTTAGTTATTTAAAGTATGCTATCTTGGTTCTTAAAGTTAACGAAAGTTGACTATTTATTATTTTAAGGTACATAAAATAAAATCTAAATTGTTAGAATTTCTTACATAGCAGTACATATATATATTTAATAACTTTTTTTTAAAAAAAAGACAGAGATATGTCATTTTATTTTAAAATTTTAAATATTATAAAAATAATTAAATAATAATGTTTCAAAATTCAAATTATGAAAACAGAAGCATTGACGTAACGAATAAAGTTTTTGATGTATAATTCTTGTGGTTCTTTTAATAATGAGAGATTTAGTGCATCAAATTATTATTTTTTCCATTTTTTAAATTTATTTGAAAAATAAATAAAATAATCGATCAATAATTCACATAGCACATTGTGACTTTGTACTTCGTAGAATAGTATAAACTATTACTACTTATTATAGTAAATCTCGACTCTTAAATATGTTAAAACACAAATTCATTTATAAATCAATTTATTAAAACATAGGAAATTACATAAGTAATCCTCATTTCAAGAAATTTTAAAATAAAAAAATGAAAAAAAAAAACTTCAATTTTAAGGACATGCGTCTATATGTAGAGTACATTGGCAATAAACGACGTCGTCCTCATCTACACAATTTGCTTCACAGACTTTGGAAACTCCAAATCGTCCAGAGCAAAAATCTTTGCATGTTATATCGCTTCGATGTTGTCTGCATATCCCCTTGTAACTTACCGTACACGACTCGAAACAACGTCCTTTTCCTGTCCGGACTATCATATATATATAACAAGTCAGTAATGGAATCAAAATTTTCGTTATGAAGCAAAATAAATATACAAATAAATCAAATGTTAGTACAATAAATAGTATATCTGAAATCATAATTTTAAAAATAAAAGGTTAGTACTTAGAACTTATAGATTAAATTTCGAATCCATTTGTCTTTGATTATATCATTTTATTGTAGAAAAAAAAATGTATCTGATGCAATGGCAATAAGAACATGGAATTAAGATCAACAAGATTTTTGAAGAAATTGCCATCTTTCAATTACAAAATAGTAATAATTAAAAAAAAAAAAAAAAAGTAGTGATGTAGTATACCCTTTATGTGTTTATATATACATGTTAAATTAATGATAAGTATCTCTATTATAATCTTAATCTGGACAGAATATCAATAGTTTAATTTGATTCACTTCTTTTAGAAACATACACATATTCCCATATTCAAATTCAATAAATTCTCAATTTAGGATTGAGTAAGATCTTAATTATAAATAAATTGTTGCTAAACAAGGAGTAAATATAAATTGATTGAGTGACATTAGATTTACAGGAAATTACAAAATAATGTTTCATTCAAATATTTGTCTTTTTACTTTATTATAACTAGTGAGTGATTATGTTTGGTGAATTAATTGAAAAACCATACAAACCACAAGGGTATATTACTGAGATCAAACTATTTAAGAAATAATCTTTAACACATCCTCCTATGAAAGTTTGGGAGAGGGTGATGGAAATGAGGACGACGAGGAGAGTGTCTATTTTTTAGAATTAGTTTAAACTTATATGGAAGCACTCAACTATATAAGTCGTTCAATCCCTAAATTATTATCTTATTCTAATTTTAGTCCTTGTATTATATAGCTAAGAATATTAATTAGACCTTCATTTAATATAAATATATAAGTGATTTTGATCTCTAATATTAACAAATGTTAAAACTATAACATAATCCCAGCTTTAAAAAAAAAGTAAAACAAAAAAAATGAATGAAAAGAGACGAGATACTGAGTTCGTCCGAACCCACGAACCCCACCTAGCTTCGCCTCTGATTACACTGACTAAATTCTGAGGCATAGATCCATAAAAGCGTTGGTTATAAATCCCTTTGTCTTATTTTCTTTGATGATCTATATTGTTCAAATTTATTTTCATTAGCTTTCTAATTTTTTAATTGAGAATATTATGTACAATACGATCTTGTTTCTTCATTATAAAAAGTTTTTTTAGATATGATGTAATAAAATAGATCTTGAATATATGAACATGCTCCTACTAAAAATCTCTTATATTTGTTCGTCTTTTACAGTTATTTTTTTTCTTATTTTTGTTCCGGTCAAATTTTTAGCATTTATTTGTATTAAGGGTCAAAATCACACATTTATATTACTTGAAGGTCTAATAGGCTTAGTTAAATAATACGAAGACTAAAAATAGAATAAGATAATAATTCAGGGATAAAAATATACTATAATCCCTATTAATTATTTTTGGTGAAAAGCAATACTATTATCGACTTATAGTAAATCTTTGTTCTCAAACGCTCTCAAATATAAATTCTTTAATTGAATTGAACATCAATTTATCCTACACACACACACACAAATATATATATAACAGATAATGAAGAAAAAAACACATTTAATTTCTATTATAATATTTCATATGTTATTTAAAATTTAGGAAATTAACTCTCAATTAACTAATTCTTTATTTTTGGAGACATTCAGAGTCCGGTGGGGAACATATACAAAGGATTGCTTCGTCCTGAATTAAACATTTTGCACCACAAATTGTTTTAAATCGTTTAGCGCAATAAGCATAACATTTATCATGGTTTGAAATATCATCGCATATTTCTAGGAAATAACCGCTACATTTTTCTTCGGAACCTGTCATTAATAAAATCAGAATTTTCATTAATTAAAACGTCTTAAAATATAAAAATAAATACAGAATAAAAAATTTGCAAGTAATTTATATGTTTTAGTAGTTTTTATTAAGAGAGTTGGGTTGTAGAAATATAACTATAATGCTTCATATCGTACATCATTCAAAAATTTCTATTATAAATAATAATTAAAAAAGGAGGCTATAGACCATTGTGGACCGATCTTTTTTTAATCTCATGCATAGCTGAAAGTTAATGAGTCGGATTGATTTTTTATTTTTGCTAAGGCTATAATAAGAGAAGAATGCAACGTTGTAACACATGATTTATTTGGACCAGTAATCTTCTTACTTCTGATTGATTGAAACGGAGAATAAAACTCTTTATTTGCTTTAGTTTGCAAAAGATCCCAAAGTGCTTTCGACAAGTAGCATAACTTTTGATTTTATAAAAAGAATCACTAAAATTACAACAAAAAATATATTAAACCAATAATTTAAAAGGTGCAAATTTAGTGTTAAGAACTTTAAGATTAAAATTATAAAATTCAAATCTTAAACCGATTACTTGTCTTCGGCTAAAACATTTTATAGTAAAAAAATAAATAAAAGAGGATACCTGATGCAATGGCTATAAGGACAAGGAAGATCAACAAAAATTTTGAGGACATTGCCATTTTTCTATCACTAATTAAAAAAGTAGTTTCTGAAGTCTATATGATTTGTGAATTTTCTGTGTACACTCTTCATGTTTATATATCAATAGTCAAATTTTGACTGTCATTCTTTTAAACAGGTTAGTTATAATTATAATTAACCATAAATTCAATAAATAGTCAATTTAGGAATGATTAGGATTTTGATAAAATAAATGGCCAAATGTTTAGATAAGAATCCCTTAAATCTAACTAATTTATTTTATAAGTTAACTCACTTAAAAATCAGAGTTGTCAGTATAGGCTGGGCTGGTCTAGTCTAACCCGTGATTTGATATAGATGAGCTAAGACTTTTGGAGCCCATTTTAAAAAAAGGTTTTTTTAGTCCGGCCTGAATAAATTTGCTGATTTTTGGGGGCTTTAGAACGAAAAAATGGCACAGCATAACATATAAATTGACAATTAATAGCCCCTTTTTAATTTATGAAAAAATTATGCAGATAAGCAAACATATACTAGCTAATTAGCTAACATAACTATAGTTTGAATTAATTACGACTCACAGCTTAAATACAAATTACACACACACATACAATTA